TTTTAAAATTTACGATGTTCATGAAGAAGCAAATGCTATGTGGGATGAAGTAACAAACACTATTAAATAAGTAACAAAAGATGTACATGGAGAATCAAATGAAAAAAATTTTATAAATAAAAATAGTTGGTGGTGGAATATTAATGTGCAAGAAAAGATAAAATATAAAAAATTATGTTATAAAAATTAGTTTAATTGTAAAAGCTTAAAGAATTGGGAAAAATATGAAATGACTCGCAAGGAGTCTAAAAGAACAATAAGTGACACTACAAATTATGCTTTAAGTGATTTTTATGATAGATTAAATACTAAAAAGGTTAAAAAATATGTATAAACTAGTCAAATTAAGAGAAAAGAAAAGTACAGATTTAACTCCAGTAAAGTGTATTAAAGATGAAAATCAAAAAGTGATTTTCATAGAAAAAGATATTCAATAGAAAAAGATATTCAACAAGAAAAAGATATTCAACATAGGTGGGTGAATTATTTTAATAAATTTTTTTATTGAAGTTTCTAAAAATACGATTGACCTTAATGATCTTAATATCATTAAAAATAAGCTGAGGATGCTTTAAAGAAAACAAAGGGTGAAAAGTCTGTAGAACCTGATGATATCCCAATTGAAGTCTGAAAATATTTAGGAGATTTAGGAGTTTCTTGTCTAACTAAACTCTTTAATATTATTTTAAAAACTAAAAGATGCACGAGGAGTGGAGGAAGAGGAATTTGGTTCCGATTTTTTAGAATAAATGGGATGCACAAGAGTGAGCAAATTATAGAGGAATTAAGTTGATGTGTCATACTAAAACTTTGGGAGAGAGTAATTGAACATAGGTCAAGACGTATTACAGAGATTTCTCATAATCAATTTGGTTTTATGTCAGGCAGGTCTACCATGGAAGCTATACATTTATTGAGATGTTTGATGGAGAAATTCAAAGATAATAAGCAGGACCGATATTTGATTTTTATTGATTTAGAAAAAAGCTTACAATAAGGTTCTAAGAGATGTCCTTTGGAGCGTTCTTGAGAAGAAAGGTGTTTGCATGACTTATATTCAAATCATTAAAGACATGTATACAAAAGTTGTTAGTTGTGTTCGAACTGAAAGAGGATTGACCAAATATTTTCCTATTTCTGTTGGATTGCATCTGGGATCGGCTTTAAGCCCATATCTTTTTGCTTTAGTTATGGATGATCTTACTGGACATTTACAGGAGAATGTACCTTGGTGTATGCTTTTTGTTGATGATATCCTTCTCGTGGATAAGACGGAAGAAAAAGCCCAAAAAAACTTGAATTATGGAGGTCTACATTAGCGTCTAAAGACCTTTATTTGAGTAAAACTAAAACTGAATACATGGAATGTAATTTTAGTAGTAATAGCTCTAGTGATAGAAGAGTAACTTTGGGTAATCAAATTATTAAAAGGTGTGAAAGATTTAGATTTCTCGGGTTTGTTGCTCAAAGCAATGGTGATATAGATGGGGATGTTAACAGTAGAATTCAAGTTGGTTGGTTGAAATGGAGGAATGCTTCGAGTCTTTTGTGTGATCTTTTGTGTGATAGAAATGATAGAAAAGTACCGCTTAGACTGAACGAAAAATTTTATAAGAGGGTGGTGAGACCTGCAGTGCTTTATGGCGCTAAATGTTGGCCTTTAAAAGAGAAGCATAATGTTAAGTTAAGTGTTATCGAGATAAGAATGATTAAGTGGATGTGTGGCTTTACACTTAGAGACAAAATGCGAAATGAATATATCCGTGATAGGGTTGGTGTAGCTCCAGTGACAGACAAAATTAGAGAGTCATCTTAGATGGTTTGGTCACATTGAACGTCCAACATCTGATGATCTAAATAAGAGTGTATATGTTTTAGATTAGACTTATGTTAAAAAAGGCAGAGGTAGACCTAGGAAGACTTGGGCTTATGGTATAAAAAATGATCTTAATTTATTAGAACAAAATGAAAATATGACACTAAATAGGACACAATGGAGAAAAAAATTCATGTAGCCAACCCCATGTAGTGGGATTAAAACTTTGTTGTTGTTGTTGTTGTTGTTGTTAGCAATCTCATAAGGTATCTACCGTATATTTGATTTGAAAACTCAATATTCTCACATAAATAATTAAATTCATTATCTAAACTGTAAATAATTAATGTTTTTGTTTAATGAAATTTGAATTAAATATATGTGTCAATTTTTTATATATTTTATTTTTTGGCTTAAATATACTATTATGAAAACTATAATTAATATTAAGTTAATATCACATATTTATTCAACTATTTCAAAATGAAAATTTTTATATTATTTAAAACATGAATCATATTGCATTAGTGTATTTTATCAAAATGTAAACATTATGAACAAATTATCTACAACTAATTTATAGATTTAATGCATCTCAATAACAATTTTAATTAAAACAATTTAGAAAAATTATTATATATAAATATATGTACTTAATTATATACTATTTGATTAAATAAATCTTTGCACTTAAAATTACACAATTTGCACTATATTTCATATGGTCAATTTTCAATTGGTTTAAAATTCTTTATACTAATTTATTGGCCTTGTGTTTTATTATCTTAATCAAGTTGTAATCAAGCACTAATATTATATTATAGTTCTAATCTTATAGATAATTTTGTACACATGTATTGTGCAACGTAAACAAAGCACTATGTAATTATTACATGCGTTATTCTTAACATGCCTTTAACAAAATTTACAAGTTTTAAATCAAGCGCTTGGCCGAAATATAAAAGATGTTAAATGTAAATAGTGATTTAATTATGCCCATTTAATTTAAACCTCTTGTCATGCTTTTAATTAATTTAAATATGAGTTGAAATTGAAAAAAAAAAAAATCTCACATTCCTAACAAAATCTCACATTCCTAACAAAAATTGAATTGGTAAAAAATCTCATGTGCATATGGCTAGATTTTTGCTATTTTAATTACTCAAATTAAGTTATGATTAATCCTTCATTAGGCCAATATAAATATATTCAAATCCGTCATTTAATTTCGTAACCGTTTGCATTAATTTTATTCTAATTATTTTCATGAAAAGCTAAAAATTTAATTCAAAATTAGGACTATTTTTGCAGAGACATAAGACTACAAAAATAAAGAAAAATAGGCTAGAATTAAACAAATCTAGTCCCTTTACAACGCTTGAAAAACCTAGCAAATACTTCTTTCAGGAGGTGGATTTTCTCTCAATGAAATTCAAGTTGTTTACTTGGCAAATTCTTTTTGAAATGTGATATTTATAAAATTAGTTTCATTTTGAAATGTGTTATAAGCGTAAATTATAAAAAACTTGTATTTAGTTAGTGGATGAGTTTTCATTGTATAAAACATCTATAGAGAGATCATAAGCTTTATAGAAGGTGCCCATTTTCGATCACTTACAAAGTTTGAACGAATTTAATTAAAGTAGTTTGAGTTGCACTTGACCGAAAGGAGAGTATGTAATTAAAGTAGTTGGGTTTATACTCACCCAATGTAAGAGAGCACGTTGGGTTGCATTCGTCAGAGAATAGGGTGTGCTAGTGTAGGGCCTCTCCTCCTTACTGAATTGAAGGAGGTTTGTTTACTTTTAATAGAAGTGCGGGAATTGGCTAAGCACGGACGTAGGCCTTAGGTTAGTTTTTAAGATATACCATATAAAAACCTAGGCCTACTCTTTTCACTTTTGTTTATGTTTATTCACGCGTGAGTGATTATTTCTTACTATTTCATTTTATTTTCTGCACGTACTTATCATTGTGGTGAATTAAAATTGAAGCAAAAAAGTTATTTTATTCAACAATAGTTTAAGAGGTAACTTAAAATAATTTTTAAATCACCAAATTCACCAATTATCTTGGATGTCATGGTCACTTGTTCTTCAAAATGATCTCTTCTCTAGGAATTAGTTATTGTTGTTCATTAATACTCTTTAGGAAGTATATCAATATTTTAGTGCTTTTTCTTACATTCATCACATTATATTGCATATCAAATACTTGAAAATTTTCTTACAAAAATCCTTTAAAAAAATAATATTAGGAAAAGAGACCAAAAATAATATTAGGAAATTAATCTTATAAGAATACTTAAGAATTTTATTATGCTTGGTCAACATTTTTGTTTTTATTTTATCATAAATATTGAGCCACCAAATAGTTGGCATGATTGATGATGATGTAATACATTAAACAAAAATTGAAAAAACTCTTGCATGGAATAATCTTGCAAGCACATTGCTTGGAAGAAATATATTGATTAGTGAGGTGGCATGTTGATGATGCAGGGCAATGCCATGCAACTAACTTGCAATTAGTGTAGCAATAATAACATCTAAGCTGACCACATTCATGGCACCTTATACAAGCTACCACAACATTTAACAGCTAAAATTAAATTATTTAATTAGTTCAGACCCAAGATAATAACCTAAGAAATTAGTATGAGAAAATGTAGACAGACATGTTTAGGATCCATTGGAAAGGGCCAATAATGATTGTCGTCACTAAAAATGGGAATTTGAAACACGGTAGAAACCACCCAGTAAATAAAGCCTCGCCAAAAAAAGAAGAAGAAGAACAACAACAACAACCCCCTAAATTCAATCATGTAAGAAATGAATCCAAAATGGGAGGCCATCCCGTTTTTCTATAGTTTTAAAGGAGAATTTAAAATTGTAATCTAAATAACGACTTTCTTTGAATAACATAAGGAATAAAGTTAAACCAAATAGTTTATTGCTTCCTCATCTCCCTAGAGAGGAAACAGGACTAGAATCTTAAGCGGTTGTATTTTACATTTCCAAAAATGGAAAGATTCAGTACCAACGAAAAGAAGTACATAATATTAGTACAAAGAAGGATGGAAAAAAAATCAGTTCCAACGAGACGAAGAATGTAACAATAGGAAAACGTAAAACAAAAAACGAACAAGACGGTGGAAATTTTAGGTACCAGGAAGTGGAGTTACCTGATGAAACCCTGGTTCACGAGTCAGCCCCACACCAAGTTCTGCCAAACAAGCAAAAACCCTAGCATCGCTCCCAAACAAATGCGCATACCTTATAAGACACGAATCCATGACCTTAGAAAGAACCTTCGCCAATGGATAGCTAATCGCAAAACCCCCACCACCAAAAGCCATTTCAAAGAAATGCTCCGCGTTCTGCTCCGCGCTCTCCGAATAACTACCAACGTAATACCACTGCTCCCAATCATATTTCGCCAAAGTTCCAGCAAGGTTTTCGAGGAAAAAAATAGTGTCATCGTCCCCGAGCACAATCCACCTAAAGTCGCCGTACGCAAGCTTCCCATCGAAAGCGTCGAAGAGCTCCTTGGCAATCCGCGCGACGCGGATGGCAGAACGCTTTCCCCCTTTAAAAGAATATGGTAAGCTGGAGGTGTCCGCGGAAATTCGTAAGGGAGGAATGTCTCGATCATCGGAGGAGGATGATTGGGGTATGGAGTCTAGGAAGACAATGCCTCGGGTGATTCCAGAGCGCCACCATGTCCGGACATAATCGCTGCGGCGAGGCCAGGTGCGAGAGGAGGCGGCGATGCCGAAGAGAAGGTGGCCAGGTGAGGTGGTGGCGGTGTTGGAGAAGGGCGAGGAAGAGGACACGAATGCGGAGGAGTAGAAAGGAGAACTGTATGAAACAAGTATGTAGAAGAGGAGTAGGGAGGCTGAGAGGAGGATAAAGACGCGAGGGCAGGACGAGGATGTTAGGGCTTGGCGGATGAAGCTGGGGGAGTTCGCCGGCATTTTGGAGTTCCGGCGATCTAAACCAAGTAGGTGTGGACGGAGCAGCCTCCCTCTCATGTGAAGAGAAGTGCGGCCAAACCGCTGAAGAACAAGGAGGGATGGAACGGAAGGAAGCTTTTTCTGACCGCCTTGTTGACCCGTTAACCTTTAGTTAAATACATGAGAATTTAGTAAATTATTTATAAATAAATAAATAAATAAATAAATATATAATATATATATATTAAAATATTATTACTATTGGGTTAAAATTATCCAAAAAAAATGGAAAATGATCTTGATGGACAATTATGTAATAAATGATGGTGTGATCGAATCTGAAATGTCATCCTAATATAATGAGAATGTGATAATTAAGTGGTTGAGATAATGAATTCTCATCAAGATTAATTTGTTATATAAAAAATATTAATATATTAATGAACAATAATTAGGTAAAAAGTGTGCTTTTAAATTGGTTGATTGCTAATTATCTCCCATCAATTAAGGAATTTCATGATGGGTTGCCTTCCTGTATTCAATTCATAAATGCCCTACACCGAATTATCAATTTTCTATAAAATGTCACATATGTTATAATAATAAATTAATTTGGACTAAATACACTCAAATTAATATGGTCAATAGCTTATAACTGAATTCATTAAGATACCTGCATAAAAACAATTCCTATGTGGCCCTTGTAACTAATTAATTGAGCTTCCTAGGGCCGTTTGGAATAAAATGCAATATAAAAAATACAGAATATTACTATTATTATATATTTGAAATTTTTTTGTGTTATATTTTTTAATTTTTTAATTCATGTAAAATAAATATAGAACTATTTTTATTTTTGTTTTAAAGTATATTGAACATAGTGTATTTAGCTGGGCAAAGAGCGACGAAGGTGGGTTGTAGGTTGGTGGCCGTGGGCGGTGATAGTGGACTGCAACAACGGGCGACAGCTGATTACTGCGATTAACTGCTGCAGGGCCACGCAATGTGTGGCAGGGGGTGGGCGGTGAGAACCAGCAGCATCATGCAGCTACGATGGGCAGCGGCGACTTGCTAATAGCATTTTAGATGAATGATATAATTCAATTTCGGCCAAATCAACAGAATTCTAAACTCAAAAAAAAATGAACTACAGGTTAAACTTTAAATTCATTAAAATTTTACATTGCATTAATAAATGGTCATACCAAAAAAAAATTTCTGAAATCCCTGTGAGAGAATTATGGTATACCACTAATTGACTTTATCAAACAATCCGCTCGTGAGATAAAGATAGACTGCTTTTTATATCTTGTTGCTAATAAAAATTATTTATTCAAAACTCGTTTATTATAGGGGTGTAAATGAGTTGAGTTGAACTCGAGCCAGTCAAGTCAAGGATTGAGCTTGATTAATTTTATCAAGTTTGAGCGCGAGCGCAAGCTTTAAGTTTACGAGTTCAAGTCGGCTCATAGGCTATTATGAGAGAAATAATAAGAAATCACTTAATATAAAATATAAATTAATATTTTTAAACATTTTTTAATACTTTAAAGTTAACGACATCAAATTTAATATTTGTTGAGTATATTTTATATTAATATTTTTTTAAACAAGCCGGTTCGCGAGTTAACGAGTCGAGTCGATGCTAGTTTGAGCTTGGCTTGTTAGCTCAACGAGCTAAATTCGCGAGCCAACTTGACTCGTTTACATCCCTAATCTATTGACCAAGGGTTTAGTGTTATTTTTATTCAAAAAATATTGTCCGTCCATAATTCTTATTTGATGAACAAATATTAAACAAGCTTCCATGCATACATTCAATTACATGAGGCCTAGTTATATAATATTTGCCACACCGTGGGTTAGAAGTTTAAATAACGTGCTAAATCTTAAATTCAATATCAATTAAATCAACTTTCTCTAAAAAAATTAAAAATATTATTAGATAATTTTTAATGAAGCATATAAATATAGCCATACAAAAATAAATAGTATTATTGCATCAATATAATTTCTATTACATCATCAACGAGTGCTGTCATTTTACAAAAATCTCGTGGTAAGACATGAATCTAGAGATAAATTTTTAGCAAGAAAGATGCAAACTCAAATTAAAAATTATTCATAACTCCAATTTTAGTGAAGTCACGGTCGAACTAGCTGGCTCGACAAGACTGACCCAATGACGCCTAAATTGGCTCAATTCAAGTTAAATCAAGACATGATCTAGTCCTTAAATCACTTTTGAAAGGTTCAAAAAGTCAAATGGATTTCAAGCTTGACAAGCTTGTAGTCAAATCAAACATCTTAACTATACTTGTTCAACAAGCCCAATGTCACTAAATTTGGACATCATTAAGATACTAAAATATCCACAATGTGTTGTTCGATCATTGAAATCTCACTAAGACGTCTGATGGGATGATCAACATTATATCATTATTTTATAGAAGAGATCATTCCCATACTCTATAACAAAAGCCCTGCCCCCATTATGGAGACGGACCTGACGCTTGATTGAAACTTGAATGAGAAGAAGGAGCCAATTTTAATAGTTGTGCTTGACTGAGAACTCGTCGACCGCTACCTACTTCAGTAGTCGTTGAATAGTGTTGATCATTGTTTGTCTGTTGTTGTCGATCATTATCAACCATCCCTTGCCCTTCGCCATTGATGAACCTTACAAAGTAACAATATATGTTGCGGTGTAACGATACACTTCGAAAAGCGGAGTAACGACACACCACAAATGAAATATAACAACACACCATAATTCCGGTGTAGCACCTTACCTCCAAAACAACATTACAAATAAGGTCGTATTAAAGAAATGAGGATTGTATGAATCTAATTGAATCAAATTAATAAAAAAATAATGATAATTGATGAATTATCAATCTTTGTGTAAGACTTGTACATATTTTTAATAGCTTCTCCAGCGAATAAAATATAGTATATACATTTATTCAAGATGTATTTGAAAATTCAGATGCCATTACAAATTCATAGAATACCACTGCATGTGGAAAAATAATGCAAGGATATGTTCAAGTTATTAAAATATGTTACCCATATGATCTTATATATGGAACCGAGCGACAAAATTCCACAGAATGTATCACGTGGCTTTGACTCGAGAGAGATCTGCGTTAACAGCCGACGGAACTGTGCGGAATGGGAAAAGGCATTGGCGATAAGGGGAACAAAGGAAGAACAAAGGAGGGTTCTTTCTCACAGAGAGATAAGCAAATAATAAAGGACGAATTTTTGGCATAAAGAAATAGTTTTTTCGCATCCCCTGCCCTTTATCTGCTGTTGTTGTCGTTCTCAATCGTTTTCTCATTGAGATTCTCCAGCCGACATCGGAGCTCCGGCGATAACAGATCTACAGGTGTTCGAAATCCCCTGAAGGTCGCCATTGAATCCCGGGATGGAATCGATCCTTGCCCGGGCTCTCGAGTACACGCTCAAGTACTGGCTTAAATCTTTTTCCAGGGATCAGTTCAAGCTCCAAGGCCGCACAGCTCAGCTATCTAACCTAGGTTATCCTTCCTATTACTCTATTTTTTCGTTAAAAGAAGAAGGCTTTAATTTCAGTGCTTGGCTTGCTCACACTTCATTAAAATTTGCTGCTTTATTTGACTGATTTGAGCAGACATCAACGGGGACGTGCTACACGCGAGTCTCGGGCTGCCTTTGGCTTTGAATGTGACCACCGCGCGAGTTGGGAAGCTGGAAATTACGGTATTTTCTCATTTGGTGGTTTGATCGGATTTGGAGACCACGTTGTGATGTTTAAGCACATTTTTCTTCTGTCTCTTGAATGGAATTGCAGCTACCTGCTGTTTCTTACGTACAAACAGATCCGATTGTTGTCCGAATTGATAGGCTTGATCTGGTTCTGGAGGAGAAATCTGAGGAGGATGAGCGGAGTTCCAGCAGGTTTTCATTTTCATGAGATGTTTGCTTTTCATTAAGGTTGGTTCATGGTTTCTGAGTTTTGTTTATTTGTTACAGTGTTCAGTTATCAACAAGCTCTGCAAAAGGCAGTGGATATGGATTTGCTGACAAGGTATAACTTTGGTTTCAGGTTCAAGTTTTTCATTTTATGATTTTTAATGTTTTATATTCTGCTCTAGGGTTGTTTCTGTTTTGTGTTTTTCTTTTATGTTGTCATTTGATATAAATAAAATTACAAATATGTTTGGTTTGCAGACCTGCCATTATTTGATATTATGTTGTTAGCATAAGATTGTTATCCGGTTTGTTTACATCTTTAAATAAAATTTCACAAATGACCTATTCTTGTTCTGCTAACATCACAATGCACTTAACCGTCAAATCTAAAGATTATAATCATTAAATGTCATTCTAAAATGTTACATTTCCTTAAACAATATACAATTAAACCAAAAACTTCATCTGAGCATCAAAAATATTTTGTGAATAAGTTGCTATTTAGATTGCACAACTAAACAACCCCAAAATTTTGAGAACTATGTAAGGACCAGTGGAAGCATAGGACTTTATATAGCAACGTGTTTTAATTAGTTTATGAGTGTACTTTGATCTCTCAGAGAGTAATGCAGTACTAAACATAGGTTTTCAGATTGCAGATGGAATGACTTTGGAAGTACGAACCGTTAATCTTTTGCTTGAAACACGTGGTGGCACGCAACGACAAGGAGGTTCGACTTGGTAAATTGACGAGTTTTCTTGCCTTGGTGATTATGCACTAGCATTTCTTTTTGGGGAATTTACATTCCTAGTCCACAACTCTTATGTATTTATATATCTCACACCTAAACTTTCCTATTTACACACATAGCATCTTGGTATTTTAAACCTTTGAATGAAAAGGTGTATTTTACTTTCTAAAAGTGTTAACAGGGCTATTTTTGATGTGATATTAAATATTTGATGCTATGTGTGTAAATATGAAAGTGTAGATGTGAGATGTGCAAATACATAAGAAATGTGTGCTATATATGTAAATGCCCCTTCTTTTTATGATAAAATGTTGACGTAGCTTGAAACATTTTCCATTGATTTCCATGAGAATGTTTCCCAATAAACAGTTCTGTAATTTTTATTGATAAAAGTAACTTACGCGTGAAAGTTAATCATTTTGTAGTTACAATTGAGGCCGTTTTCCTGCACAAATAACCTTTTATTCGGAAATATTATATTCAAATCATGTCCTTCTTGCAAATAGCATATTCTTTCCATCCTCATTCCCTTTTTCTTTGAGGAGTTGGTTGAATCTTAGAAGAAGGATTTCGGTGGTTTTTTCATTTATTAAATGAAGAAGATAGATGACTATCTTTGTGCAGAAGGATCTTTATTATTATTACTATTATTTTGCATCAAAGTTTCAGTAAATGCAATATAGGCTTGAATGGAGTATATTACAAGAAGCAGTACTAGATGAAATCATTTAATTGTTTACTGAGTGAATTTGTTTTTATTGTAAAAATCACATAATTAGTAATTTCAACATTAGGTTATTTATGTTTCTTGGTTGAAAGAGTTATATTCTTACTTAGTTTTAATTATTATCGAGTACTCTGCATTTTGTGTCTACAAATGTTCTAAACTAGCTCTTTGATGCTGTTGTATTGTTATTTTTGCTACTATTTTGTCTCATTTTATCAATAACCGAAGATTAAAATGTTGACAAAGGATTTTATCCAGAATTCCAATGTCACCGTTGTGGATGGTTGTAAGGTTAAGGCAGTTAGTTTACACTTTTCTCTTTTAATGCGGGAGCTAAATCATCTATATGTAGTTTATAAGAAAACATGTAACGTAAATTTTGTTAGTTCTAATGGTCTATTTATGAATTCTGTTGGCAATGCAAGGGCCCTCACTGTGCTGAAGCGTGATTTGGTAGAAACAAATTGGGCTTTATGCTATTTTATTGTACTTTGAAAAACAAAATTAGTAACAAATATGTGTGAAAATAGTTCTATTCATCGCAAATAAGAACATTATTATTTCAGATTTTGTCGACTATCTGCATGATTGATGGGAATTATGTCAAGTATGGTGGGACTTGACATGGTGTGGAATGATAAAGTCTTGAAAAAAGAGGTGACATCAAGATAACCTTGGCCTCGCCAAATTGTGGGTATATCTTTGTTAGAGTTGTTGACCCACACAATTTTGAAGTATATGTGAAAACTCTTTGAAGGACATCCTGCTCGTTGAAAGTATAGCTATGTGTTGACGCTCAATTAAAATAAGAGTAAATAACTAAAATGGTCTTTAGATTTTTTCAGGTGTCCTGTTAAGTTCTATATTTTTTAAACGTTCAATATATTCCCTCAAATTACCAATGTGTTAGATTGTTCCTACGGTCAATGTTGTCATTTTTTAAGACATGAATTAGTAGAAGGAATTTTCTTATGAGAGCATTTTAGTTTTTCAGGGTCAATCTCACTATTTAATATATGCTTAAACCAATGAAAAATTTCCTAAAATGTTCAAAACACTCCAAGAAAATGCTTCCTTTCGCCAATTTTTATCTAAAAAGAAGTAAAAGTTGATGTTAGGATCATATTTATTTAAATTTTGTGAGTTGGACTGAATTTAACACTTAAAAAGAAATTTTGGATTAAAATGAATACATCTAAAAAGTTTATGGGCTTTTTTGATCATGCACTCATTAAAATAATAACAGTGGTATGCCATCAACCGCTCGGCTCACTTTGATTGCCATTTTTCCTTGGACACATTTCATTTGTATGGATGTATTTGTCAAGATGAATCTATTAGAAGTAAGAACTATTGACTGGAGAAATGATATGTTAGATGGTGTGGGAGTGCATGTATTGAATAATATTTCATAGGAGATGAAAATAGGCTGTGTGAACGTACAACATAGTATGGAAAGTTCACTTATAAGGGTGTTAATTGATATTATGTGAAAGGAATTAAAAGTAAAAGTGAAAAAGACTAGGGGAGCATTGAATTTATAAAAGGATTTATTTAAGCTAAGGTTGGCAATTTCAATAAAACTTAAACTAACAATAAGCGATTAAAGTAGGTGGAATCTTAGAAAGAAGAGAATGATGATATAAACTATAACAAGAAAAGAGTCACCTGGGGTGTGTTTGGATATTTTTTGAGTGAAATCTTATAAAAAGATAGCGAGACCTTACGAGGAGATCCATGGAAAGGCTTATGGCCTCTCTTGCATAAAGAGCTAACTTTTCTTCTAGGTTGCTGTTTACTTTGTGAATGCAAGTATCTCTTTTTGCTAAGTTTAGGTAGTATTAAATTTTGCCATAAGCCTTAATAGTGTTTTATTTTTTACTACTCTTTAAAAGCTCATTTCTTTTTTTTAATAATCACAAATGATTTATTTATTGGATCTCTTGAAACTTATATGACAATTTTTAATAAGAACTAGCAATCGCCTACATGAAGTTTGATTTAAAAGTGAATAATTTCAATTTCTTTCTTTTAATAATCTATTAAAATCCCAGGACAATTCTTTCTTTTGATCATTTTCTTTCTGTTCCTATCTTAAGCATTCTCAGTTATTACTTGATATTATGTGGTCAATTATTCTGCTAGAATTATCTTATTATCATTGCAAAATGGTTTTCTTTTCTTTCAAGTAAATATTTAGGATGTGGTGACTTCACTTTTCAAATTAATTAAATGCTTTTTGTAGTTTCTTATACATGCATTTATTATTGTAATGTTATATGCCATTGTAAAATTAAATATAGTTAGTCTCGTCCCATTTCTTTCTCCTATTCTGTGCCCTTATTAACCTTCCCATAACTCATCCTTTTAGAATCAATTTTTACATACAATTCACCTAATAATTAACTTAAATTTAGAGGTTTAAGAAAAAAATTAAGTTATGAAATATTGTGGTAATTAAGTTTTATCTAAAACTAATAATATATATGACAAATATATCATTACATTGTGGCTAAAGAATGTCTAAGCTGACTGTGAACTCTCTCTTAATCTTTACTCTTCTACTGAGGTATGCTCGGTGAGCACAATTTTCCAAGTCAATATTTATCTTTTTAGCATAATGGGCCTTTTTTTAGAACTTTTTTCATGAATTCCTGCAAGATTTCAAACTAAAATGACAATCTTTTTGCTTTCATGTCCATGCACTGCTTTGTTCATTAAATCCTTGGTTTTATGTATTTATCTTAATATGTCTCAGTATTAAATGTATCGTCTGTACATGATTAACACTCTTGCCAGGTCTCCGCCATTGGCATCTATCACAATTCGCAACCTTTGGTTGTATACTACAAATGAAAATTGGGAGGTGATTTTTATTGCGCAGCATATTTTTTCTTTTATTCAACTATTATCTCAATTTCCTGATTAGACGAGTATTACTGTCCAGGTTGTCAATTTGAAGGAAGCAAGGGACTTCTCCAATAATAAAAAATTCATTTATGTGTTCAAGGTTCTTATGCTCTTGAATCTCTTTTTTGCCAGGACCTTTTTGCTGAAGATTTTTCCTGCCACATTTTTTTGTAATTTAATTATGCTGTTCCCACCATCTGCAGAAGTTGGAATGGGATTCTCTATCAATTGATCTTTTACCTCATCCTGATATGCTTTCGGATTCACACTTATCCTTGAACAATGGAAAGAATGGAAGAGATAACGATGGCGCAAAAAGAGTATTCTTTGGGGGTGAAAGATTCTTGGAAGGAATCGCCGGACAGGCTTATGTAATGGAGTCTTTTTATGCGACATTTACATACATACCACCCAATTCTTATGTATTTACATATCTAAACCACCCAAATCTTTTATATGACATAAAAAAAATATCACCATTTTAACTTTTAAAATATAAAATATACATTTTTATGCATAGATATGGTGGCATGTATGTAAAAATTGAAGTATAGGTGTTAGATGTGTAAATTCATAAAAATTGAGTGGTATGTATATAAATATTTTTTTATTTTATAGAAAGAATAAAATTAGTATAAATTTTCCATGACTTATATTGCTTATTTCAACAACTTCAGATTACAGTGCAAAGGACTGAACAAAATGGTCCACTGGGTCTAGAGGTTCAGTTACATGTCAGTGAAGCTGTGTCTCCTGCTTTCAGTGAACCAGGTTTAGATGGTGTCATAAGTCACAAAATATAATCAGAATTTGCAATTTTATTTAGTGGTTTTACGCTTTTGCAGGTTTACGTGCTTTTCTTCGGTTCATGACAGGACTGTATGTTTGTTTAAATAGGGGAGATGTTGACCCGAAGGCTCAGCAGGTTTTATGGATTCTTGATTTTTGTGATTATTCGTTGTGTCTAGTGGACGTTATGCTGATGTTACGATCCTTAATCTGATCGAGTCCAGAGGTCTGCTGAGGCTGCCGGTCGTTCGTTGGTTTCGATTATTGTAGACCATATCTTTCTCTGTATCAAGGATGCTGGTATGTTTCCATTACCATACATGTAACTAAAATGGATGGATGATTCTTAGCTTTTATGTTGAGGCCAACGTTCAATTTTAGTGCCTCTGTTATTTTCTTGTGGATAATCATACTAATTTGTTTGTCAATTTCAGATTTTCAGCTTGAACTTCTCATGCAGTCGCTTTTTTTCTCCAGGGTAATGCATTATCTTTAAAAGTTTATGCGTGCTCTTTTAAATTGTACTCTCTTATTATCTTATTTTTAACTACACTCTATGATTTTTAATGGGTGAAGAGCTTCTTTTTCTTTATTCTAGGGGTTTCAAGTCGGGTTTGTAGGTCTTGTTCGAGTCTAATTTGAAATTGACTTAATCAAAATATTAACCTTAACACCACTCGCTCTTCCTGACTAGGATGTGACTTACATAAAACATTTAATACATAATAATTATTCTGGCCAATTTCGATTCAAGTTTGGGTTGACGAGTCAAATTCGAGTCACTTTCGTGTTTACGAGTTAGTTTTTGTTTGGTGGATTAACCTGAACCTGCACTGCTAAAAAAAATAAACTTTGCCTTTTGACCCGAACATCATCTTAGAATCAGTTGGGTCAATCCAAACTCATATTTTGAGTCGGGTTGATATGTGGTCATTTTTTAACACCTTCAATTATTTTGTATGTTATTATGTAATTGATAAATTTAGGTTCTTGAATGGTAGGATAAAAGTATTTGTAGATGGTTGCACTTCACATATTGTGAAACAGATAAAACCAAAATTGAAGGTGGAATCCATGGTTTGAAATAATAGCCTGTTTGATGGTTGTCAAACAAACAGATGCTTACCATGGTTTGAAATAATCAAATAATAGCTAAATGCGATCTACTCCTCCATTTTTTAGCAATGTTGGTTGGGTTTGATTTAATACTTAATAGTTAACATTTTAGATGGTTAGATCATAGTTATACGAGCCAGATGATGGCATCTACACGATTTAACATTATTTAGGCTCATGAAAACCCTATGATAAAACACTAAAAGTTGTTTCATAACTTGAGAAGCATTTTTAAGTATTAAACATAGTCAAAATGGAATCAAACTATTGGGACCATCAAAACTATTGATACTTAGAAAAATTTGAATCAAATTGAAATTTAAAACCTTGGTGTCTAACTATATATTGATGGCTCCCCTATTCATAGGCATATGTCAACTACATCAATTCATTGATTCAAGCAAAGCTAATACATTCCAAAGGCTCATGCTTACCTTAATTAACTCAATTTTAAATAAAACAACTTATCTTTTAAGCTTAGAATGATCAACTAGAGTCATTCTATAATGATATAAATCAAACAATGATGATCATGATCCTAAAATTAAATCAATGCAATTTTATGTGTATCTAGCTGATTAGAAGTTATTAGGAAGCTTTTTAGGACATATCTTTATCAAATAAAGCTCTAGCTTAACAAAATTAAGGAAATTAAAAAACTTGGGAACAACAGCAGACAACTCAATAGTAATGATGGTTTACACTTTATCTGCTCTCTTTCTGAAATGCAAGTTAATTTATAATATTTAAAGAATTTTATTTTATTACGAACACTAGATTTTGATGGTTTACACCTTGTCTGCTCTCTTTCTCAAACGCAGCTTAATTCATAATATGTAAAGACTTTTATTTTATCGGGAACACTTGATTTTTTTTGTAGATTTAGTTTCACTCGTACATGTTGTATGTTTTAGAATTTTTCTTCTCCTACCTATCTAAGAAGGATCAGTATTTGACCTTCGAAAATGAGCTATAACCAAGATCTACCTACAATAAAATAAGCATTGAACATAGTTACCACATCACACCAAATTCGATCAATATAAACTGTTTAGGAATTAAAAACCTTTAGGGCATGGGAATAGCAACTTTGTTTAGTTAGGCCATCTTATATTTTTGTGAGTGTTATTCATGTTTTAGATTTATATGATTTATGTTATATTCAAACACGGCATTCTCATAACTCCCATTATTAATGATAAGCTTGTAATGTTTTCCTCATGTTTGAAAATTTTTAGTTCTCTTCCAATCAAACTCAACCCAAGGTGTGGCCATGATGCAACTCATGACATTCAATGAATTTTCAACTAAGACATCTTGATAATCACTAATCTTCTCATCAAACTTTTTTTTCATGCTTTTCATATGACCTAATGGCCAATTTTGTGGCATTTTAAACATGCATTGACAAAAAAATTGTATTCATGTCTAGATGCAAATAAGTCTCTTAGTGTCTTTATCAGTTGTGGTGTTTGTTGCCTTAGATGTAGTAGATTTGACAGGCTAAAGTTGACTATTTTGACGAATTAATACACTCTAAGAATATGCACTAAATTTGTTAAACTTATGAAGCTTTAACATTTACTAATAATCTATTGCAAGTTGAAAATCATTCTCAAGCACTAAAAAATTGCGTGATGTCATCTCTTTTTTAAGTTTAGGTCTATATTTACATCTAAATATTGATAGTAGTGTTAGGATACTCAATTATCACAAAAATGCAACAACATTTTTTAAAATGTGTATTATGTTATAATTTAGTTCCTTAATTTGAAGGATTATCCTTTAGCAAATGATCATGATATGATAAATATAAGCATATTTCTTTAAATTCATTTTACCCCACTTATGTGATGGTGGCTATACATCCCAAATTTTCTCTCTACTCTTTCATACCGATCCAATATATTTTAGCTAGCCCAACTAAATTTGACTGCATATTTTACCAAATATTCCCCAAATATAGCTTGTCATTGAAAATAAGTTGTCAAACCATTTCCTAGCTTAGAAAATTTTTTTAAATCAATATTAAGAGAGTAGATGTTTTAGATTCGGCTTATGTTAAGAAAGCAGAGGTAGCCCTAGGAAAACTTGGGCTTATTGTATAAAAAATGGTCTTAATTTACTAGAACTAAATGAAAACATGACACTAAATAGGACGCAATGGAGAAAAATGATTCATGTTGCCGACCCCATGTAGTGGGATTAAGGCTTTGTTGTTGTTGTTGTTGTAATATTACCATCAAAAGTAGGCACAATTTAGCACTTCTGGTTATATAACAATTTTGACATCTAAATATTGAGAGTACTGTTAGGATACTCAATAATCACAAAATGCAACAACAATTTTTCAAATGTCATATATAATGTTACAACTTTGTTTCTTAATTTGAAGGATTATGCTTTGACCAAATGATCATAATATTATACATATTTCTTTTAATTTATTTTAGCTCACTTAAGTGATGGTGGCTATCCCTCCCAAATTCTCTCTACTCTTTCATACCAATCCAATATATTTTAGCTTGCCCAACTAACTTTGACTTTGCTAATTTTACCAACTGTCTCCCAAACATAGCTTCTCATTGAAATATGTATCTAAAACCATTGTCTACCTTAGAAGAATTTTTTGGATCAATCTTACCATTAAAATTAGGCACAATTTAGCACTTCTGGTTATAAATCATTTATATCACAATTTTGACATCTATAATTTTTTTTTTCTCCTATCAACTCTAATATTTTGTTGGATTGGTTCATCATTATGTTCAAAACTAACTTCAAGTTCACATGCATCAACTTAATTGGTATTCAATTTTTTTATCGTACTTTAGCCAGATTAATGTCATCCCATTATTTATTTATTATTCAATAATTCTATAAATTAATTCTGTATATTAGTCAAACTCTTACTTCTTTATGACGTATTGAATTATTTTGATAATTAGTCTCATATTTGAGTTATGTATTTACACAACTAAAGTTTTGATACCGTTGATGCATAATGCTTGCTCTTAATACAATTAAGATGATCTAATGAATGTAAAGCACAAATAAAATTATGGGCTCACATTTCAAAGACTATTAGACAAATCCTCGTTTTTTAGGTGTAAATTTGGAAATACGATAAATAAACAATAATTATAATTTACTGATTTATTAAACTTCAAGAAATCAAGAAAAAATTTGAACCACAAAAATTAATTAGAAATTTAAATTTTTAGCTACAATTGAAATCCTATAGTGACAATTTACCAGACTATGACACTTGTAATTCCACAAAATAAATATTTATGAAAATAAGTAGAGATTAAGAAGTGAAGATTGTGTCTCTATATGGTACAAGGTGATAACTTCTACGAGTTGCTTTTCAAACTTGTATGCACTTGAAGGTATCCCACATCCAACACAAGTGTACAAAAGATTTTAAACAAGACATGAAATTTTATTGAATAAAAAAATTTTATTTACATTTCTCAAACAACTATTTGCAAATTTCTCAACCCTGCGTCAGTAGATATAGCTTGTAGAAAATCAACTCATTTTAATTTAGCAACTTAAATTCAATTTTCATATGTTTTGATAAGTATTGAGGGATAAGATAGAAGATACCATGTTCAAAGTTTGTGCTCGTTTAGCCAATGGAATAATTTGAAACAATGAATAATGTATTCAAGGAATGGAAATCATCTGTGAGTTGCTATTCGATCCAAGAAACCATGGCAAAGCAGATCAATAATGATGACCGACGATAATAGCAAAGCTGGTAACATTAAAGTTAATCAACAAAGAAAGTTAAGAAAAGGGGGCAATTACATACATAGCAATCAAAACATTGCTATTTACAAATCTAGCACCCTCTTTCATCTATTCTTCAAATTCTCATTCAATTATCAAAATTCACTATAAAAGTGCAACTCATATTTTTTTTTATCAACTTCTCAATGTTTTGATCATGACACGTGCAAATGCATCAGTTTGGTGGTTCAAAAATTACATGGGTGCTAGTTTTATAAATAACAATGTTTCGAGTACTACTTATGTAATTATCCCCAAAAAAAATCCCTCTTACTCTTGGTTTAAATTAATGTTGAACCAATTGAAAGTTAAGCAATGTTTGAATAATGATAAACCATGACAACCTGAGCAAATAACACAAAGTACTCTAAATAAGTCATCATTGTCAATATTTTTTGCTTAAACTTCATGAAGGAAATTTATCATAGGAAGAAATAAATAGGATGGATATTCAAGAAGTAAACCGTAATTTGGTGCCAGTGACTATATAAAACCATAGCTCTTAATCTCTTATGATCATCAATGAGAGGTGATGAAATGTTGGAGAGTAAATTTTAAGAATATTGGGTAAAAAGCTAAGAAGGATTTTCTTGGCCTTGAAAGGGAATCAAGCAAGTTACAAAATTGCAGCACCATGGCCCATATTTATATATCTTCATTTAACTGTCTAGCGTGAATTGGCCCCTTCAGCCAAACAGAGATCATAGGCAACAATGAGGCTTGCTGCGTAGCAATGATAACACATACTTTGGCACTTCGGTATCTCATGGTGAAATTTTGATCTCTTCAGAGTTGGCCTGAATTTTGTCTTGCTCTACTTCAGAAGCTAACGCTTTAGGTATTTAACAACAATGCATAAGCCCTATGCAACTTGTGTGAGGAATAGTATGCCAACCTTCTCCAACTAAACCTTGGTTGTGTGATTTTATGTTTATGGAAGTGGGGATGGCTTTTTTTTTTTGGCTGTGTTGAAATCTAATGCTCGAGTGTTGGATTATTAAGTTACAAAAAGGATTTTGACATTTAAAACCACTAATTCGAGTATTTGGTGGGATTAGGCATCATACCCATTGATTTATTCTTATATGAAATAGAGATCTAAAGAAAACTAATTATCTTTTGGTAGATCAAATTCTCTATTTGCTGATTGTCTTTTGTTATTTTAACATTTTTTCAGGCTAGTATATCCGATGGTGAAGTTTCAAAAAATTTAACTCGAGTTATGGTTGGTGGATTGTTCCTGAGGTATTCAAAATCTTCATGAAGTTATTGCCATTATTTTGTTTTACATATCTGTGAATAAATGCATGCTATGTTACAAATTCTTAGTATAGTTAATTTCGACATTAAGCAGTGGCAGCTTGGTCGAGGCATCAAGTGGGAAGGACAGGCACTAATAATAACAATAATGGCATGTTTTGGGATAGGGTAAAATATTTTTTAGGTGGATCATGACATATTTTAGCGGTTTGCGGTTAGCACAAGTGTCACGTCTATATGGTTATCTTTTGTTTCAAAAGCATATTTGTGAGATAAATGAATTTATGGCATTCTTGTTACCCTGGTGTAATATAGGTAATTCTACTAATTTAAAGAAATAATGCTTAGCTTAAAATAAATTTGCATGCTTCTAAAACTTCTCGCGGCCTTTGAAGAGCAGATAATTACTATATAGTTTAATGCACACAAACAAATTGATTACAATTTTGAAGAGTTCTTATTCTAATTATTAGAGAAGCACACTTGTTTGGGAAGGTTAAATTCATCCCTCAGTTCTAGAGCTGCTCCATACCTTATTGGGCCCCATTGAGAAATTGTATGAACGTTCAAAATATAATGCCCAATTAGAAAACATTCAAACATGTTGAATCTTGATGAAAATGATTAATCATTTTGATGTGACTAAATATTTCTAAATTAAGATATTCTATTCACTAAAATTTAGAAAAAAACATGAATTACTAGAATTAATTTCAAAGCATGACGTTAACACAAATTCATGATATTGGTATCTGTTATCCTAAATTATTACAATTAGGGAACAAAATCCCCAAATTTATTAGATTGCCATTAAAGTCAAGCTAACCCAACATAATTATGTAGCTTGACAAATTATTTAGCAAACATGATTATTTCCTTAATCCAACCAAATTACTTCTTTTAAGGAAACCACTTCATCACTCCGATAAACCTTTCCTTTTTTTTTTTTTGGCATGAAGTTTGGGGAACCAGGCAGTAGAAGTAGATTGATTACAATGGAGGTTAAAAGGCATTGACTTGAGCTGGCATTAAGGTCCAAGGCCCCCCATAACGACGCTTACTTTCACCGAGATAGAACGATGAAGATGATAAAATATAGAAACATGTTTAGAAGAAATAAGATGCTTTTGGCTTTCCCTCTTATGCCTGCTTCCTTATACTGTTTCTCATCCTTTTTTTTTATATTCCATCTGGCATCTGATTATTTGCATCGAGGCATGTAAATGTATTTCTATGGATTAATTTAAAAAAAATGGATATGCAAATTATTTTTTACCTCTTGATATTCTAATAATTCATTCTTCTCCTCTCGAGACTCTGAAGTTGATTCAGTGTGTGATATGAAGTATTTTAGGAGAAGCTTTCTTTCTATTCAAGCTTGTGCTTGATTATGGTGATTTTTATCACTTCCCACTCTTCTTGTCTCTTCATTCAGCATTATTAGTTGAAAGCATGATTGAATTTTGTTAGATCAACTACAATCTGATTTTCTTTCTTTTGCATAAAATTTCAAGCATTTTTATTTTATTTTAATTTTTATTTCTAAATTGGATGTAGAAGGCCAAAACCTTTTAATTTAAATTTGATTCGTGACTTTCAACTTCAATTAGAAGAATCGAATAATTGTTTTGAGATTAGTGAGTTAGATTATTGCTATTATTGATGTACATTAGAAAACATAACTCATGAAATTCCATATATTATTATAGTAATCAAACCCTTTGTTATGTGAAAGTTAGATGTTGTAAAGTGATTTTGATTCAACAGCGTTCCACATTTTATTAAGTTTTTAAAATTTCATCTAGTATTTAGTTCATAATTGTTAATTCAGAGTATTTGATTTTTTTCAGGGATACCTTTGCAAGCCCTCCATGCACTTTAGTTCAACCACAAATGCAGGCTGCTCAAGAGGAATCTCTGCAAATTCCAGAATTTGGTTTGTTTCCTGCTGCTTTTTTTTTCCCATTATTCTATAACTGACCCTGTCAAATTTTTGTGACTATATATCACCTTAAAATTATTACTATTATTTTTTTCAACCAGGAAAGAATTTTTCTCCACCAATCTATCCTTTTGGAGATTCACAGATAAAGTTCAATATAGATGTGCCTCTGATTCGTCTTCATTCTCTTCAGATTACTCCTTCGCCTTCCCCCCCTACTTTTGCTTCACAGACAGTCATCGATTGTCAACCTCTTTCGGTATGCTGCGTAATTTATTTATTTTTTCATAATAATGAACAATAAAAGACATATTTTTTCTTTGTTTTATTTCAGATTATTCTCCAGGAAGAATCTTGTTTGAGGATCTCCTCTTTCTTGGCCGACGGGGTGGTTGTGAATCCCGGAACTGTCTTGCCTGATTTCTCCATCAATTCATTACAGTTCACCCTGAAAGAATTGGATCTAATTATTCCTCTAGACTTCAAAAAATCTATAGAACCTCACTCAACTAAAGAATTGCATTCTCCACCCTCTTTTTCTGGCGCAAGGCTTCATGTAGCAGACTTGTGTTTTTCACAATCTCCATCAATAAAATGCAATTTACTAAATTTGGAGAAAGATGCTGCCTGCTTTAGCTTATGGGAGTACCAACCGATAGATGCGGGCCAAAAAAAGTGGACTACTCGAGCTTCTCACCTTAGTCTTGCACTCGAAACTTCAATTAGCTCATCAACAGAGCGGGCGGGTTCAGTTGATTCGCCCACCGGGCTCTGGAAGTGTGTTGAGGTGCACGAAGCCTGCTTTGAGGCAGCTATGGTTACTCCAGATGGCAAACCTTTGGTTGAAGTGCCCCCTCCTGGAGGTGTTGTTAGAATAGGAGTTTCCTGTGAAGGATATTCATCCAACACTTCTGTTGAGCAGCTACTCTTTGTCTTAGACATATATGCTTTTTTTGGTGAAGTTAGCGAAAAGGTCAAAAAAATCTGTAAAAACCAAAATAGCAAAAGCAGGTTTTTGGGTAAAAAGTTCATGGAAAAACTTCCGAGTGATACCATCGTTAGTTTAGCTGTTAAAAACCTTCATCTTATGTTTCTCGAGTCGCATTCGTTGGATGTTCAAGGAATGCCTTTAGTTCGATTCGACGGAGAAGATTTCTCCGTGAAAGTTTCTCACCAGACTCTAGGCGGCGCTTTCGCTGTGTCGACCGGTTTGATTTGGAAAAGCATCTGTATCAACTGTGTGGATGATGGAGTATTAGCTCACAGGAGGTCCATAGGTTCTGCTTCTGAGCATGAATTGCGGGGAGTGGGGAATGGTTATCCTCAAATGAGACGCGTTTGTTGGATCGAAAACCGGAGTGAGAATCAAACCCTTGCGGTCCCATTTCTCGATGTGTCTGTCTTGCATGTTGTGCCTTACAAAATGCGAGATATGGAATGTCATAGCTTGAATGTCTCGGCAAAATTTTCCGGAGTCCGACTTGGTGGTGGAATGAACTATACTGAGACACTTCTGCATCGATTCGGTATACTTGGACCGGATGGTGGACCTGGTGAGGGTCTAACAAAAGGATTGGAAAATTTATCTTCCGGGCCTCTTGTAAATCTCTTTAGGCCGTCGTCTATGGTGGATACCAGCAAGGAAAATAGTATGTACCTCTTTGACTTTGCTTTAGGCTATACAGTAATCTTTCTTTTGGACATTTACATACATACCAACTCTTACGTTTTTTACATATATAACCTTTAAACTTTATTTATAACATTTATGCTGCCCAAATCTTTCATATCACATAAACATATCACAACTTTAAATTTGGGAAGGTGAAATGCACCTTTTCATGCATAAACAAGTTGACATACATGTAAAAAAAATGAGCTTTACGTGTTAAATTTGAGCGTTTACATCTTTTGGATAATTTACACTTTCATAAATGTCATCTGATACAAACTTTATTGCTCTGTAAATTTAGAGGAGGAGGATCCATTGTTGCTTTTGGAGCTGGGAATGCCAGATGACATTGATGTATCCATAGAGTTGAGAAATTGGTTGTTTGCTCTTGAAGGAACAGAGGAGATGAGAGAAGGCTGGTGGTATAGTAATGGGGAGAATTTCAGGAGAGAGGAAATGTGTTGGCACACAACATTCCAAAATTTACGAATGAAAGCGATGAGTGCTCGTGCAAATAGTTCATATGGAACGGTAGAGTTGCAAAAGTCTGGCAACCATCCTTTGGAATTGATCATCGTAAGAATGTCTATTTGTGAAAATATTCTAAACTTATTGCATGTCTAACACCTAAACTTCACATATTTGCATGCATAACACTCAAATCTTTGATATCACATCAAAAATACTATTAGACTAACTTTTTAAATGTAAAATACAAGTTTTCATGTGTATGTTGTTAATATCGAAGTGTTATAAATGTAAATATCAAATTTTAGGCTTAGGATATGTAAATGCATAAGAATTGTGTGGTATGTATGTAAGTTTCCCTAAATTTTTTTAATTATTTTGCTTTGGTCCCAGAAAATTTTGGTGTAATTACTCTTTATTGTTCATGAATGGTTTGCAATTATATTTCCTGGTTATTTCTGTAGCGCCTCTTAAGCTATGTTAATTAAGCTGAAAGTCATATCCTTAACAGACAATTATAACATTTAGCACATATGATTTTTCTTAGGAGCATTTACATATGTATTTACATATCTAACACCTAAACTGATTTTTACATTTATACCATTAAATCTTTTGTATCGCTTAAAAATACCACTATTTTAACTTTTGAAAAGAGAAATACACCTTTTTATATATATGTAAAAATTGAAGTTCAGGTGTTAGAAATGTAAATGCATTGGAATTGAATGGTATTCATGTAAATCTTCCTTTTTCTTAATAGAAATTTGACTGATTATGTAGATAATATATATTCTCGTGCTCTCGCAGGTCGGCATTGAAGGTTTGGAGGCCTTGAAGCCTCGCTCCGGCGATGGCCATTCTGAAGTAGGCAACCCGGGAATTAAATTAAACAGTAATTCGAGCAATTTAGGTCCCGTTAGTGATGCCGGAGGCATTAACATCGAAGCTCATTTAGTTCTTTCTGATTCTGAGTGTGCACAAGAAGCTAAGTGGGCTGTAGAGAATATCAAATTCTCAGTTAAGCAACCGGTAATTTTTCAATTCACACCTTTGTAATTCTGCTATTTTCATCAGTTTGAATGGAAGCAACACAGATCGTTTTTCAACCGATTCTCCTATGCAGATTGAGGCCGTTGTCTCGAAGGAGGAACTTGAGCACCTCGCTGTACTCTGCAGGTCAGAAATGGACTCGATGGGAAGAATCGCTGCGGGAATTCTCCGTGTCTTAAAGCTCGAGGAATCGATTGGCTTGGCTACCATAGATCAGCTCAGCAATCTTGGTACAATTATTCGTAGATATATTCGTAGATATATATTGGGAGATTTACATCCATACCTATCAATTCTCAAGTATTTACATATCTAACACATAAACTTCAATTCTTGCACATCTGCCATACTACCTATGTATGAAAAGATGTATTTCACTTTTTTGAAATGTAATATAGAAGTTTTTGGTGGTATAAACATAAAAAAAATGAAGTTTAGATGTTGGATATGTAAATACATAGGATTTGTGTGGGGGAATGCTCCATGAGAACAAGCTTCTGCATCAACCTACCTTTTTAAGAATTATAAAACATTCTGCCTGCAGGAAGTGAGAGCTTGGACAAAATATTTACGCCTGATAAACTGAGCAGGCGGAGCAGCATCAGCAGCACTATGAACTTCACGCCTAAATCAAACGCCATTGTTGGGAGTTCAAATTCTAACTTGAATTACACCATTTCTTTACTGGAAGCTGAGGTTGAAGAATCAAAGGAGAAGTGCTCTGAGCTTCTTTCAGCAATAAGCAGCTCGATCGATTCATCGGAATCTGGTTCTGATGTTAACCAGCTTAAGCAAAGGCTGGAGAACATGCAAACTCTGTTGACGAGAATGAGGACTCTGCTTTGATTCAAAAGCAACTAATTTTGCTCTGCCTTTTTGCGCATTTATTCTTTTATAAGTGCATATCTTGTTTGTAAAGGAATTTAAAATAAGCAGTTTTGATGAGATTCAAGCATGCTTAGCTTAGATTTGTTTTGATCTCAGAATGGGGGGGGTTAAGAAACTTGGTACATTAGATGAATAGTTCAAATTCTTTTGGACAATATTTGTTTATATATAATATTATTTAGGTGTTAGAAGTAGTTTGAATAAATTTTTAAAAAATTTGACATATGAATGAAGGAAATTGAATCTTTTTGTTTGAATACTTGAAATCTTATTGTTTTTTGTTAAATTAATATCAATATTTATTTGATTCCGTGCACTTCAATACTTAGTTTATTTCCGAAATGGAAAAGCATGATGGAAATGTTTAACAACTGCTTGGATGGATGCAATAAAAAGTTCTTATTGTTTGCTTCGCTTGTCCTAACAATATGGAGTTCAGTAGCAGACCACATACATATCCCAGCTATTTGTGTCAAAATAATACTATCAATTTTAACAATTTAGCCTTCAAGCACCTTTGGGCATTCCAGATTTAAGATTTAGTGCAGCGCAAAGCGACATTTTTATTAACCAAATTGCTAACAAGTTAAATAAAACTTTTAATATAGAATACAAAAAGTATGATACAAAATCTTGGAAGGCAAACATTAAGAATGAGCTTACAATTAAAATTTCAAATAAATTTTTAAGAATTTAAACAAATGATTTAAAACTTAAAATTTACAAAAAATAAAAAAAGAGAAATGAGCCATGTTTCTTAAATATTCAAACAAAAACAAGATAACCAAAATTGATACATCAACATTACATGTACCAATAACATGATTAGATCTTAAAGGACTAGTTTGTCAAATAGAAGAAACACAAATATTTACACTAGTCATCATTGTCCATTAATGACTGCCAGCAAGGAAAAACAGCAATTCTAAGTTGAAATCAAACCAAAATAATCGCTTATACGCAGCCGCGGTTTCAAACCGTAAGAGCAACAACGCTGCATGGCTACTGTTCTATATCCACTTCACCATTCAGATCTATATCAACCATTTCTGAATCCACCTTCTCCACATCTATATCTATATCTTCTTCCTCATCTCCTTCGTACTGAAAAAAACAATGGATAAAACTGTAAGTTGGCAGACAAAATACAGTTTGAGTGCATGGTAAACATCATCTCTATCGAGGAATAGGGATAATTACATACATAACACCCGAAACATTGTTATTTCTAAAATCTAGCACGCATATGATATTTTTGAACTTCACGATCAACCCATAGTTGAGAGTTTGAAAAAAATGACAAATATGGGTAGGGGATTTATCATGAATTTCGATATTTGAGTGAGGATTTGAAAAGGGTGCTGGATTTCTAAATAGCAATGTTTTGGGTGTTATGTATGTAAACAGCCCGAAGAAATGTTGTAATGATATTTCCATACTATTATGCCAAACAGGAATGAGGCATTTACATACATAACACCCAATTCCTATCTATTTACAAATATAATACCTGAACTTTACTTTATAATTATACCACCCCAATCTTTCATATCACATAAAACCCTCTATTTAACTTTTGTAAGTCAAATACTCCTTTTCATGCATAGGTAAGTTGGCACAAATAAAAATTGAAGTTTAAGTGTTAGATATGTAAATACATAGGAATTAAGTGGTATGTATGTAAATCTTCCGAAGGATGCAACCTAGCAACATGAACAAACAATAGGCATATAGCAAAGAACTATAAATAACAAGTACCCATGAGCATTAGAAGAATTTTTACTTGGTACGCCATAAGAAACTGACCATTACAAAAAGAAGAGGATATACTTAATAACTGTTTGACAAATGCCATCAAATGAAGATATACAAGGAAATAACATTCACCTGTTTGTAAACATTCTGATTTACAGGTGGAGGTAGAGGTGGAATATAGGACGATACAATTTTGTCATCGATGGTTCCATTTTCACTAGGTGCTGCGACAGCCTCCATTCCGCGAGATTTTTCAACAATGCCAATGTCTTCAATGAGTTCATCTATAGCATTAGCAACCAGACTTGTATAAGGTAGCACTCGTTCGGTCTCAGAGCTCCGGTTCTGCAAAATCATCAAATGTGCAGATAATAAGAATGTGACAAAAAAGTTTCGTAAAAATGGGTTTTGAGAACATTTTTTAAACAGTATTCACTCATGTCGTATTTAACTTCCATAAGTCATAGTAGGCATAATTAAGAGGAGCATTTACATACATACAGCCCAATTCCTATATATTTATGTATCAAATAGCTAAACTTTATTTTTTTACATTCATAGCACCCAAAACTTTCTCATCACATAAAAAATACCACCTTTTTAACTTAAAAAAGTAAAACACGCCTTCTAATGCATAAGAAAGATGGTATATATGTAAAAATTAAAGTTTAGGTGTTAGATATGCAAATACATAGGATTGGAGTGGTATAAATGTAAATCTTCCTTGAGATAAATCAAACCTTAGATAAAGAACCAAATTTTGGAGAAAATTTTCCACGCTTCCGCTTGTAACCATCTAGTAGTGACAAAGGTAAGTCCTTTTCTTCCTGGTTTAATTTAACTGTCTCAGCATCCTTTGGAGCATCTTCTGACCAAGTAGGCTTGGATAATGTTGCAGACAGTTTAATTTTCTTCGACACATTTCCTTTATTGTAAAGATAAAATACAGATACGTTAGGCCTGATTACCAAATGGTTGGGTATGCGAGGTAAAACACAACTGACAGAGAGAGAGAGAGAGAGAGAGAGAAAGAAATAGAGAGAGAGAGAGAGGAGAGAGAGAGAGAGAGAAGAGAGAGAAAGAGGGAGGAGGGTGGGGGGGAGATGTGGGGGTGGTGAGCAGACTTTGTTTTTGACAAAGTAAGCCTGTAGAAGTATTATCACAAGCTTAAATTTCAAATGAAAACGTTTTGCAACCTACCCAACTTCACTTCCTCGACGGCTGCTGGTTGGAGAAGTGGTCTTTTTTTCAGTGAATAACCGCTATGAATCAAGTCACCATTACGTTCTCCATCGCTTATAATATTAATGCTCGAGTCATCTTCATTGGCACCTAGCTTTGAAATATCTAAGCCAAGCTGATCTCCAAACTTCTGAAAACGAGCTTGTGACCTGCCGTGTATATAAAAAAATTAATTAGTCCATAAATGTGGTTTCTAAGATGAAATCAATACTCTTCTCAGTTATACTCTAGCCCACGCATAAACTAAGACAAATATCTAGTCATATAACTAAACTTTTTTAAAGAAATAAATTTAAAAAAGGCACTAAACAAACTTGCCTTTCAATTCCTCCTGTTTTGATGTACCATCCGTAATTTAAATAATAATTTTAGCCATAAAATAAACTTTTTTGTAGACCATAAAAAGAAAATCAATATCAAACAAACTTACCTTTTCAATTCTTCCTGGGCTTTAATGTACCGTCCATAAGCTTTAAAGAACTTTTCTATTTTGGAATTTATCCTGCAAAAGAGAACAATATCGGATAGACAGGTAATTAAACAAATATATTCTCAAGACTGACGACTATAGACTACATCCCATGGAGAATGATTATGTTCATTGAGGAAAAAAAAAACCTTTTACAATCTTCCTGTTCTCTGTTTAGCTGCATTTCAAGATCCTTGATTTTACTCGACAATCTCTGTTCTTCCTCAAACTTTTTCTCCAAAAAAACCTAATATACAAAAAATAAAGCTATGTTGTGCCAGTGAATCTAAAAATAGCAAACTAGTGAACAATATTCCCCATCCAAACATACAAAACTAATAGAAATTTACATATATTAAAAAAAAAAGTTAACAAAAAGCACCAGATGGCAAATTTTATTTTGTCATTAGATCTATAGTCAAAATATAAACCAATTCTTGGTCTACAACTAAATTGTAGATTTGAATTTTCAAATCCCAAAGAAATCTCTAAAATACCCAATATCATCAAAAAATTGGGAAAACAGCATGCATAAAAATGTGGAAATGACTGTTTTTAAGTATTAGATAAAGCATGATCAACAAGTGGGAAGGCAAAAAACTGAATAGTTTTCCACTCTAGTGTAATGTGATCTCACCAAAACAATTTCTTTCTGGCTGATTGTGGTTCAATAAAGCTTCTAGGGATCATTGCAAGCTTGTCAGCAACAAATACATTGCCATCTTTTATCACATATGGATAATTTTCAGTCCAATGTATGTCTAAATATTGCAAATGTACAAGTTAACAAACAAGAATGGTCAACGGCCAGTTGCGTAAAAAATTTACCACATATCTTTTCACGTCTACACAAATGACTGAACATGGGCATCAACATGGCCTATGACCATATTGGCTGCTAAAAATTAAATAATCATAATTTAGCACCAAATTTGACCGCCGCACTTTTGGGCGGTAAAAAATTAATAGTGGTAAACCGTGATCTAAGTCCCTTAAAAGATGGCTTATCATCATGTTGGCATATCAAAAGTAAACATGCATTTTACCCCCAAAATAAGCAGTAGCTCATTAACCTATTATATAACCAGACCTGAAATCTGTTCATATTAAACCAAAAACTTATACCATAAAAGATGGGCACGAGATCTATTGTACAGCAGTAATCAGACTAGTATAGTAACCAAAATCCATTAACCTAATTAGATTGTAAAACTGGAACTTCTTCATGATTCTTCTTAAGCGACGAAAGTAACCACCTCTAATCACTGAAACTGGAAGATAATTATAAGCATAAAGCAACTTGTTCCTTGATAATTAAGTTGTAGCCCTAAGAGTCTATATTGCTTTTATGTATTATGTCTACACAAACAACTGCTCTCTTTCTAGCCTCCGTATTATCTATACATTGCTTTTTTTTATTGTTCTCCAAGCATATTTCTAAAAAAAGATGCTTTCAAATTAACCGATTGCAAATTCAATTTTTTTTCTCTACCCGCTAAAAAAACCTTTGTTAGGCAAAGGGGAAACGATTACAATCATGAACTGGCTTTGCTAAAATGATTATGATTGATGTACCAATTACAAAAAATCACCGAGAATCCCAGCAAATCATACAGAGAACAAATGATAATAAATATAGACACAAATCTTCACACATACACATGTTATACAAAATAGTTAATGCACACATATAGTATCATAGATGCAAAGTACTTCTTCACTCTATTTTCTGTGAAGTGCAGCATTTCTTAAATTCATTATCAACAAATATGTTGTTGGTATGAATGTTGTCAATCAACATTATCATATGTTCTAAATTCTGGGTCATAAAAAATGCAAATAAGGAATGAAAAATTAGGTTCCAATTGAAAATAGAAATTAACTGTGCACATTATTTAACTAGTGATTTTTTTTTTTTTTGCTTTTTGGTTGCATCAAACATTAGATGTCAAAGGCAATATCATTCAACCAAGTAGTCAATAGTTTGTAAAGGTTAGTATGAATTAAAAAACCGGAACTTAATAAAATGTTGAAGAGATTGCTTGACAAGAAGCTGTCTTAAACTTGACAAACCAATTAAATCATAAGCAACTAAATCGCAGGTCCATGAAGTACATTATCTCATATTAAAAATGTTGTTTAAAACTGTTACAACTTCGTCTATTTATCATTCGATTCAGAAGTCTATAAAATAACAGCTGACCAACATTAGGTTGGATCAAAACAAAATTATGATCCAAGTTTGCCATCTTACCACCCGCTCAGGAAACCTGGCGTAGAACAAACTTTACCCAAAACCTGTAGAAATGCCATTATGTGTGTGTGTGTGTGTCTATACATACATACATATATATATATATATAACCTTATCACGCTCAAATTTAAGTTCAAGCCATTCAAATCCAATGACACACCGCTCAACACTCAAATCCAATGACACACCACTCAACACGTGACCAAGTGAGGCACATTTTCATATTTGTTTTAAAGACACGATTCAGCTTTCATGGTATCAGAGGACGCAAAATCAACTTGGCTCCCATCCCATGCTATTTCTTTGCACCAGTTTCATCATAGCAACATTTCACCCCGTTGATCTTTGTCTAATACTAGCATGCCGTTTCTTTTAGGCATCCTCACAACTGTTTAAAAACCAAACCAGATCGACAGTTCCAACTGATTTAACAAGGCACTAATCCTCCAGTTGGTTTGGTCTAGTTCTGAAACCACATTCGCATAGAGCTGATGAAAAACAACAGTAAATATGGAATTGTGAATTGGTCTGAATTTTTGATAAACCGCTTGGCTCTAATACAAATCAGTGTATGCCTTTTTTTAAGATTTAAATAAAAGAAACTTAAATCTATACACCATTCTATGAAATTACATATGTTGTAAATATAAGAAAGATTAAAAAAGAGGAAAAAAAAAGAAGGTTGGGGAAATTTATTTTAATTTAAGTTGTTACTAGCTGTCCAATCAAGTGGCAATACTCCATACATATTTGCAAGCATTTCTACAAGTGAATAAGTATATAAAAGAAATTAATCAAAATATCATATCCCAATATTTTGACTTAGAATTATACTTATAAAAATTCAATGGCAACTATAATATTATACATTAAAATGGTAAAAAAGTCAGTGTTGCATCATTATAATGTCATGTAAACCATATTAAAGTAAATTTAATATTTATTATGTCATCCAATTTTAACTTAGTTAATTATTTAAAATTTGATCCTCTCAATTTTAAGTTTTAATGTTTGATTTGATTTTCAAAATTTTGCTTATATCTCTAGGTCTTCGACATTTTGGCTTTGGCTTGCTCCCATTCCATGCTATTCATTCATTCCTTCGTCTATGAAGTCTAACTCTTGTTCTCTACCAGACTGATGACCACCATGGCCTAAAGCTCTACTCAAAGCCTAAGCAGCTCTTCAACATTGATCCAATAATGATTGCACAATTGTTGCTCGGTTCCTAGTTGGAGCCCTAGAATCCAGCTCTTCGACTCACTCCTCTACTCAGATATTATGGCTAAAAGTTAATGGCTGTAAACTGTAGAAAACAAGGTCCTGAGAGGGATAATTATATATATATATATATAAACAACTGC